TTTTGGGTCATCAGGAAAGTCATGATGCATTTTTGCATTGAAAATAGGCATATTTTTGCATAGAAAAATACGTCATGACTTTCCCGATGACCCAATAGAAGTGTTCATTCATTGAGAGTCTGCTTTCTTGGTCTCTGCTGCTCGAAATACAACCAGTCCTGGCCTCATTTCACCTGGGGGCAGGTGAGCTGTAGAAGACCCAGGTGTGTGGACTTGGTGTCAAGTCCTGGTGTGGCCACTTGCTGGTTGTCTGGCCTAAGAGTCAAAACCAGTAAGCTCCCTGGGCCTCAGCTTGCCTCTAGGAATGAGGGTTCTAACAACGTCTCCACCTGAGGGCTGTTCAGAGGCTGAAGAGGGAGGCAAGCCTTACTCAGGAACTACTGGAGGCTGCCAGGTGGGGCTGGTGCAGACACAGCTGTGACCCCTACCAGGAGAAGGAGATGCAGCCTGGAGTATTCTGTGAAGCCCTCATAGAAGAGGAGAGACCGGGGCTGTGCCCCAGAAGGCAGAGCACAACTGAACCCTAAATAAGGACATTCTAGGAGAAAAGAAACATCCAATGAGATGGGACAGGTAGATACGAGGTAGCTTACCTTCTTAAGGCAAACCTGGAGAGACTCTTTAGAGGCTATCAGAGCAGAGAGATCTGAAGGCAGAGGGACCTGATAGGTTGTTGCAGAATCCAGACGGGAGGGATGGAAGCCTATTCCAGAGCGGTGACCATGAGCTTGGAGAAGGATCGGTGGGTGAATCCATAGGCCCTAACCACTGGGTAGATATTGGGAAGAGCGGGACTCAGAAGCTTGGTGCCTGAGCAAGTGGTGGGGCCTGTCCTAACCACTACTAGGGCCTCTGAGGTCAGGCAGAAAGTGGAGGACCGACTCTCAAACTGGAAGTTTTCAGAGAACATTCTGAACAGAAGCAGCCTCTGTGCCTTTCTTCCCCCCATAAATGTTCATTCCTTAGAATTTGGTCCTTGGCTCACTTAAATACACTCCCTGCCTGAGTGCGTGAGCCCCCGGGTAACTCACTACTGCTCACTGCACCGGCCACTGTTCTTTATGTGGATGAGTGCTAAACTGACATCTTCAGCTGAGACCCCTCCCATCAACGTGGAACTCCTAGAGTCACCTGCCTCCTGGACTTCACTTGGAAGGCCCGAAGGTTGGTTCTACTCTACCAGTCCACGATCAAGTGTACCCCGTTCCCCACCCATGTCTGCACCTTCCCCACATGTTCCCCATCTGAATAAACAGGACCACCAATCCCAACTGCTGAAACCGGAAACCTGGCCCTCACACTTGATTCCTCCCTCCATCTGCCCTAGGTTTGCTCATCTGGTGGGTTTGTTTTCCTGAATGTTCTTTGCCTTCATCCCTTTCTCTCCATTCCCAAGGCAATTGCTGGGGTCCACACTCTTACTGGTTCTCCCCAGGATTTCTGCCACCGCCTCAGAGATCTGAAATCTGCTATCTGCATGACTATTGGAACAGTCTACCAAGCAGGACAGCTCACGCCTCGGACCTGCGCACAGGCCCTCAGTGGCTTCCTCCTTTCTTCGGGACAAAGGCTAAATCACTCAGCATGGGATTCAAGGCTTCCCAGAGTCTGGTCCACCCCTCCATGCCCTGTCTACCCTTCACCGCTTTTCCAGTAGTGATTTTTATATTCTAGCCACACCGAAGCACTTCGCGTGTCCAACTCCACAAGTAAACACGTTGTTCCCTTTCCTCAAATGTCCCCATTCTCCTCTCTGTCAAACCGGCAAACTCCAAGCTATTTTTCAACTTTCAGCTCAGTGGTGGAGACTTCCCCTTGGGGAGCTTTCTCAGCCTGTGCCAAAGAGATGCCTCCCTTTGTGCTTCGACCACACCTGGCGCCTTTCCCTTCTCTTCCTGCTATCACAAGATCCAGGATGTCCACTCATTCATTCACTCATGGGTTCTACACATATTTACTGAGCTGGTGCTGGGGATACAATGGCAAGCTGAAAACACGTGACTCCTGACCCAATAGAAAGTGATGACTGCCACTGTTTGCCTGTCGGACTCAATAAGCCTTTGCGACATGATTGATGATCTTGTTTTCGTGTGCCTCCCGGCCTCTGCCCTTGACGTTCTGTTGGCCTGGAACACTCTCTCTCCAGTCTGCACTGCTCCCTTCTCCGTCCGATTATCTACAGCCGCTCCCCCTCCTGCCCCCTCCCTTTCTAGCTCTTCTCCCAGATTTAGCCTTTCAAAAGCTTGTCTATTTTGGGTTATTTGTCTGCCTCTTCTCACTAGAATGAAACCCTCTCAAGAGCAGGGACCTGGCCTTTCTTTATTGCCCACAGAGTCTCGGGAATGAGTTCGGGCCTGGCACATGTATGATAAACGAGTGGGTGGATTTTGTAGATAAGGAAGCAGATGTTGAAAAGGGAAAGACTGGCTGTGAGCATGAAATTATTTAAGTGTAGACCCAATCCGAAATAACCATGGGGATTTCATATACACAATGGAGGGTGGCAATTGAAAAACAATAACGCAGCTAACAGACACAGGAGGTGAGGTAGAAGGAGGTGGGAGGAAATGTGCTCCTGTCACAGCAAGATCTACAGATAAAACACCATTACTTCGCTCTCTTCTCTGCATCATCTCTTTTCTGAACCCTTGCAGAATTATTTGGGAAAATGTGGTAAAGAAATATTTCACATTTAACAATTCCTTCAGCTTCATGTTACCTTCCTTTTCTTCTATTAAAAGCAAATACAATAACTTCCATTTAAAAGTAGCAACTATAAGGTGTTAATATTGTAAAATAAATTAATTTTTCCTATCTTTCAACCCTGCATTTAATTATATATCTATATCTATATCTATCTATAGATAGATAGATATATATCTATATATATTTTTTTGTTGTTGGAAAAGTCATGATGCATTTTTGCAATGAAAAACAGAAAAAATACGTCATGACTTTTGCGACAACTGAATATATATATATATATATATATATATTTATATATATATTTGATATATTAAAAGCTGTCTGGTATTTATCTAATATTCATGATCCATATATATATATATAATATATATATTTCTATGCTACCTGTATCTATATCTATCTATCTATATATTTATATATATGCTTAATAAGATGCCTGGGATTTATCTACTATTCATGAAAGTTATTTCTGGCTGATAAAATTTTTGGTTTTCTTTTATTTTCTGTATTTCCCTGCATAGTTTAATTTTTTTACAATGTACATATATTGTAGCAAAGGATATTTTAAAAACAATTGGAAGCAGATGTACCAAAATGTAATTGAGAATCAATTTTGGATGATAAGGATATGAAGATATCTTCTTTGTATTTTTTCTGGAAAAATTTTTTTTTTAATTTTAAAGAGGAATTTTTAAAGAGGGAAAATGTGAATCTAAGATGAGTGCATCAGGTATTCAGAAAGGGCAAGCGGTGCCAAAGTCACAGTTGAGTGAGTCCGGGGTCAAGGTGTCTTTTCAGCCAGGAGACGCCCCAGCAGAGCTGACCAGAAGGATCCGGTAGCTAAGGCCAAGGGTCCAGGGAATGGATAGGTTGCTATTATTACAAGCTGGGCCTCTCTTGGCCTTGGGGCATCTAGCAGGAGGATAAGGGCTTCCCCAAGTGAACAGCAGTTGATTCCTGAGAGAACTGTATAGGGTCAGCAGTGAAAGGACTTAGTTCTCACAGCTCCTACAGCGCTGTAAATAGAGGCAGAAGGTTAATAACTACAGCCCAGACACCTGTCCAGCCCCTCGGAAGGAGCCAGGCACAAAGCACATGTTTCAAGGTTCTATAAATCGATGCGTGTAGCAGGCAGTACATGAGCATCGACTGAAGATTTTTTTTTTCTTTTTCGAGAGAGGAGAACCGTTCACCCTGGGAAGAAGCCATCGCCATGAGAATCGGAGAGATTGCATGGGATACAAGAGGGACAAAGGGGCCAAAGGCACCTGAGTGGAATGAAATACTAGGGGATGCACGGCGCTGGGCGGGGGGAGAGGGGGGGTCAGCCTTCGCTCCCATTATATTGAAATCGCCCGATTGTCCTGTCCATCTTTTCACAGGATCTCCTTCTACGGTCAGTGCCTAACTCGGCTTTCAGTCCCTCCTCCCCATCGTCTAGCAGGGCGCCTGGCTCCCCATAACTGCTCCAAACATGTTGAGCCGAACCGAGGCCGCTCCTTGCATCAGTCCTGTTCCGGGCTGATGTCAAGAAAGCAAGATGTTAAACACATGTCACGCAGGAGGCCGGCATCCTCTTGTTCCTTTGGGGGAGACTATTGGGAATTCGAGGGGCTCCTTTCATACTCTCAAGTGGAGGGAGCGGTGCAGATGCGAGGGCTTGACCACCTCAGCCCTTGGGGGACAGCTGGCGATGTCGAAGGAGGTGGGGGCAGTGCTTGCGTCCCTCTCCCCAGGCCCGCGGGTGCTGGGGGGCGCCCGAGCAGGCGCGTGGGTCACTAGGGATGCAGCCAAGCCAGGGGTCCTGCGCGCCGAGGGCTCCCCTCTCAGAAGCCACTGAACTCGCCTTCCCCATCTGGCAAGTGGGGCGACTCCCTCGCTGCCTGCAGGACGCCGGGGGTGGGGAGGAGCGCGGGGAGCGGGGCTGCGGAAAGCGTCCGGCACGCGCCGGCCGGCATTGCCCCCCGGAGTGGCCGCCGGGACCCCCGGGACCCCTGTCCCGAGTCGGAGCGCGCCCTCTGGGCCCGCGG